CTTTCTGTCATGTGGAACCGCAGTGGCTCAGTGTGTAAGGAGCTGGCTCACTAACCAGGAGGTCAGAGGTGCAGGATGAAGGGCTTGGCAAGAACAGCATCTAGTCATTTGGGTGGGTTGAAAAAAACAGTGCTCCTGCATATGCATTTGCGTGCATGTAAAAGAACCCTTGACAGCTAGTTGGAATTTTAAATAAAAGTAGACTGTTTCTCTCATAGCACACCGTATGGGATATGCTCATTTTATTTGCCCAGTCAGTTCAGAAAAGTAGGAAGTTAAATGTGTGTGTTTTTATATAATATTTTTGTAACAGTTTAATTATGCTGAATTCTGTTCAGTTATTAATTATATTATAAACTCTATAATAGATTTGGATTTAAAGCTAGTTGTGTGCACCCTTAATTTGAATATCTTGAATTGTTGTATGATTTTCAAATTAATTAAGCTTGTATATTTCTAGAATTTATCATTATCTCACAGTCTCCTCAGTGTTTCATTTAATTAATTTATTTTTACAAGCCAACTTTGATTTAGAAGCGATTATTCTCAGATGAGTTTAATACAGGATATATGCTTATTATTTCTAAACTGCTTAATAATAATAAACAATGTGTTTCCGCAACTTTTAAACACCCAAATTTTTATGTGGGCGCATAGTTGTTCATGGATTATGGCCCCTGATTGTATGAAAAATCACATTTTTAGCTTGTAGACACTCTAGAGGTCACAATTTTTATCCGATTTTGATGAAACTTGAAATATATATGTTTAGAACCCAATGAGCTTAATTCCTCTCGATATTCGCACATATTGGATCGTAACTTCCTAGATTATGGCCCCTGATTGAACGAAAAATTGTGTTCTAAGTGTGTGGTCCCTCTAGAGGTCGTAATTTATTTTCTGATTTTAAAAAAAAATGATGATTGAGTTAAAATTTCGTGAAAATCGGACCGAAACTGTAGGACAAAATGGCCCCTCCCTGTACACAAACAGTTTTAAAATATGTAATATCAAGGTTGTGGAGTCCACAATGTGGACCCTCTAGAGCTCACATTTTTGATCCGATTTTGAAAAACTTCAAATTTATCTTTTTATCTCACAGATCCCAGACCATAACTTCCTGGATTATGGCCCCTGATTGTACGAAAAATCGTGGGTTTTTGGGGGGTTTTTTCATGCTATGAGGAAAATTTTGCCTGGACCGTGGCACTATGTCCTACTCTTCTTTTGAATTCCAAATGTTGTGGGTTCTTTTACATGTACGCAAATGTGTACAAGGAATTGCTTTTTCGATGCCATCCGAGCAACTACTGACAAGCGGAGGGGGGGGGCATACATGTAGGTTAGTGAGTCAATATCTTATTCATCAAGCTATAATTCCTATAGAAGATAACCCAAATAACGCAAAACGAGGATATCCCAGAAGGAAAAGGTGTCGAGTCATTCAGATGGTACAAAAAACTGATACACCCGTAAACTCATTGGCGTGCACGTAAAATAACCCTTTACATTTCACAAATAACCATAGAAAACAAAATTATTTGTGGCATTTTGTATTGTGGAAATATTATAAAATGCTTTTAATTCCGGGACTTTCGTTTACAATTCTGTTTTCCAAATCAGTGATTTGTATTATTCCAATTAAATAATAATTGTTGTGTAGGTTTGTTATTACATAATCACATGAATAAATTGAATTATATTACATTATGAATAATAAAGATATATTACTTGTAGAGTTTAACACGATTGGTGTTTTTCTAAGTTTGCTAGACTCACACTCTAGCAGATATATTACATGTAATAAATCGAGTGTGACATTTTGAAATGACAGACTTGAATCAAGTTTTTGCGAGTGGTTGTTGTAAAACTGCCTTTATCTCCACTATTATACAAGTTCCATTCAGTGGAAATTATGCTATTTGAAAGGTTTATTGATTTTCATCAAGTCAGTGTATCTTCAGTTGATCCCATCAACAGACAGATGAGCTGGGCCTCAAATATTCCCCTATCCAACACATTAATGACTTCTTAACTCCAGTGGTAAACACTGGCTAAATGGACACAATATTTTATTTGGATTAGATTTCTGTAAATGGAGAGAGAGAAATGGTTTAATGTCAAAACAACACAAATTAGGTCATTTTGCGTGGTATATCTTTATTTCAATAATTTACTTGGTCGCAGGCATCTTTCGCTATGGAAGGAAACAGGAAGACATAAAGATATCCCATGAGGTTAGGCAGACGACCCTACTCTTTGTCATCTACAAGTCTGAGATCAAAACCACAAACACTTGACTCATTGACAGACTTTATGACCTAAAGCGCACTCCTTAGACCATTCAGTTCACCCAATCTGGCTTTCTGTAAATAGCTGAGTGTCTTATCAAATTTATGATTGATAATAAGTATGTAAGTAATTTGTAAGAAGGTATATTTTGTGTAGATTAAATATATTTTGTATGATTTATCACTGTCAATCAAAATGATATATTTATTTAAATGAATAAATTAAAATTATGAGATGATAAATATTGACACAAAAAAAGCGATATACTGTAGCCATGTATACTGTAATATTCTATTTTGTTACTGATGTCCAGCCTCCACTTGTCAGGGGTGGTGTCTATGAGGCTAACAAGAAAAGTATGCATAGTTGTTGGGATAGGACAAAGATAGGTTGCCAGGCAACGAAACATACGCCCGCAGCAGTTAAATTGTCTAAGCGGTGGAGAAGGGTCGTCGCATATTTATTTATTTGTAGGTAATGGGGGACATTTACACACAAATCAGATCGTAATTTCCGTCGTTTGAGAGATCAAAAGATTCTACAAATTGAAACAACAGCCTTAACTCTGGAAGTAATTTACAGAAATTGTTAAAATTTGACAGGATCTTTTGTCTTACTAATGTCAATAATGCATGTAAACATCATACAGATCGAATGATTACTTTTGTTGTTAGAGCTTTCACATTGTTCAACAAAGTAAAACAAGAGCCATAACTCTAGAAGCAGGGCTCACGTTTTCGGTCGCCAAAGTTGCAATTTGCAATAAGAATATGGAAGTGGCAATTTTGGGGTATTGGGGATTCTTTAAATTGTTATATCCTACTCTAGATTAATCGAGTGTCAATCACAATCACTATGCAGGAGCAGGAATACTATAAATTAATCAACTCACTAATTATCCGGATTATATCAATAAGTAATACTTATTATATAAAGCCTATCATCTCAAGTCATTATTTACTCCTAATGATTAATCCAAGCAGTGATTATTTGATTTTTCGTTTCTCTATAAAAAAAATAACTAGAAATATTAAAAATTGCCGTCAATTCTTTTCAAAGAGAATTAGATATTTTCATTGTTGAACCATGGTGTCATACGGGATGTAAAATATACAAGCATGCCTGTAACTTTATGTAGATGTTCATTAGGTGAATGTCTTGACTGAGTTCAATGATTAACATTTCGAGCTAAAGCTAAGCTGAGCTAAGCAATTTCATGGTTGATAACTTTGATTCTATCTGATAGAGAGTGATGAAACTTAGTGTATAGTTGATAATCAGTTTGATTGCTTGATACTTTTGAAAAAAAAAAAATGTGCGATTAATTAATGTCATCTATTTATTTTGGAATTTCGGCGGGGGATATCAGCCTCCTTGTTAGCTTGTTTGAGTGTAACTTTGGATGAATTTAGATTACGTGTTGGTGCTTGGTGGTTTTATGTTTGTGCAGTTACTGACATTGTCTAGAATAAAACATACTTGTAGAAATTTGTGTACAACGGATAAGGCTGGCTTGACACTGCCTTGGCACTATTCATCATTTTTGTTTATTTATGACATATAGATAAATATGCGCTTTATAAAACACCCTAGGTCAGGATTTAATATACCATCAAATCACATCATTTTATTTGTTTCATTGATTAATGATTGCTTTTAATTATGAGGGAAAAATCATTAACTCAGAAGATCATATTACAGAATCTTTGTTTGACTGGAATCATATCACTTGCACATGGGATGTAGAATTTTCATAATAATTCATTTCATTATTTCTCATTATTTGATTCAGTCACTCTAGACAAAAAACGGATTGTTTTAATAATTTGCAATTTGTTAATTTTACATCGCCTGAAACTCTCATTCCCCATTGTGTCTGAGTAAAGTCAGTATCTGTAAACTATATAAGGACTGTATACCGTACTAGTTCTGTGCCTTAGATGGGTTGAGGTAATCTAGGGAGCAGTAGTTTCAGGTGGTTTTGGGCGCTTTCGAAAAAGAGCTACAAAAGTATCACTTTTCTGTCATTTTTAAGGGGCTAAAGGGTTAAATTATCTTATTCATCATTTCGGTCGGGGTTTGAAGGAAAACAACACACACAAAATAAATTAATTGGTAATTATTTATTCCTATTCTAAAATAAACCAATAGTACAATTAGTTATTCATAGTCAAAATTTAAATTTATTGTAAATAATAATCATGTAATCTAATCATCTTATTTGTAAAAAGCTGAATGATTTGATGTGAAATGGCCTCTACACCACCAGACTAATACCAGAGCTTGTCAAAACAAAATAAGTCAGATTGATAAGATAGGATGTTAGATAGTGTGATGTTAATAGCTCGGCTTTTTATTTGTTATCCAATACAGTAGCAAATCACTAGCGAGGCTCGTGCCTCAATCAAATCAGCTCGATCAGTCTTAAATAAGCTCATCCAATTTAACAAGTGTAATATATTAACAAGCAACATTAAATCGTTTATGGTATGGATAAAGATTTAACTGGCTCGGAAGACAAATGCTGGGTAAATGCAGGTGGCTTAAGCATTTATACCTTCTTTTTTTTTACACCCTCTGGCTTTTGTAGGTTTTCTTTCAACGGGAGACTTTGATGGCCTACACATACAACACCTTACTCTTGTAGTAAATGTACACTACTTAATCAGTAGAATAGCTTACTCTAGGTCATAGACTGTAGTGGCCTGCTAGGTCTCTCCGTGAAGTTTATCTCCAATTGACTGACTTGTGCTGTTATTTGAACAGTAGCTGATCTGCCTAACACCAGACAAAAATGGAATGTGCCGTTGTCTGCTAGCTGGCCTACCCATTGCTAGTGTCGGGATCCTCAGCTTGGCACACCACCGATTGATTGATACTAACTGGTGACTAGCTGATAACTGGTCTTATTCTATACATTTAACTGGGATAGAATTACATGCATGTACAGACACACGGAAATCTACTCTTTCTTCTCCCAGTGTTTATATCTGCCACATTAAAGAGCTGAGTACTTTGTTGGAGGGTGTGACACTGTGGGTAAACTTTGTTATGCCAGTGCTGTATTATGTGACAGTGTGTTAATAGTCAGCTGTTTTCTAGATTGTATTATGTGTGTTAATGTAAACAATGTGAGACCTTGTTGATGATTGACTGATATAATTTAAATAGTGAGGCAATAAACATATTATTATTACCACTGTCAAGTATAAACAATCACATCGTGTGTTTTAATTGCTGGTAAACCAATTTGCATTGATTGAAAGGATAACCGGCCCTTTGACAGTTCAACTGGATTGAGAAACCATGTCAAACCTGTGATTCAGACTCACTGTGTCTCGGAAACAATCGTATTTTAATGGTAATATCATATAACTCGAGTTGAAAAACTAGGAAATTACTGTCATGCTTTCTTACATTGGATAATACATTGACATAAATATACTTACATGATGTTCACACTTAGCTTAACATGCGTTATATCAATATTTGCTTGCTGTGCATATCACAAATTACTGGCTTGCTTTGAAACTATTTCATGCACTATTAGTTTTGAATCTGTCATCAGGGTGATTCTTTGAATTAAACATTACAACAAAACTGACTCACATCACTGAGTTTGTGATAAAGCTGTGTTTCTTTTTTTGTAGGGCTTTATAAATAAACTACTGTTGATGTAGACTTAACAAGCGAAACAAGAAGTTTAAAGAAGATCTCCTCACAGGTTTTCATTCGCTTGCTGTGTAATGGTTTCATAATTGGTGATAATCAAAAAGTAAGTAGTGTCAGTCAAGCTTTAATTTGTACAGGCGGTTGTTTACGGCTTGTTTACGGCATGTAAAAGGGAAAAGTCATGCTAACAGGGTTTTTGTGTTGTTTGTGTTTGGCACGTGGGTTTCACACATGTGAATCAAGCGGTTAGATAGAACACCCTACTGCACATGTCTTTGTTAATTTAATACATTACAACATAAGTCTCTGATCGGCTACATAATACATCGCATACATGAACAGTTATACTTTAGCTTTGTAATAATATTTACCTTATATCTTTTGGCTAAAGTCAAATACATTTATACGCTTTGAAAATGCATGTGTGATGTTTGTTTATCTTTTGTCTTTTTATTCAAAGCCTTTTGTTGTTGTGGTTTATTTGTTTTATGTGCCTTGGCCAGCGTTAACAGAAGTTATTACTACAATATTTCCTTTAACATTGCATGCAATCAACTGTCTTGTTGCTGTTCTTTTGAGATGTGTGAAATTGTATTATGGGCAGACGTGAGTTTGGATTAATTGAATCAGAGTATCTGTCGACCATGTGTTAAAAATACGATCGAAATAACAATAACTTTTAAAATAATATAATCTTGTTTTTTAGTGAAATAATCCATAGCTGTAATAAATTATTTTGAACTGAATTAGATTTAAAAAATTAAAAAAACAAGACCACAAGGGGTAATATGATGGGATAAAAGACATGCATTTTGATAAGCTTGTTTATAAATTTACTGATATCAGCAGGCGGTCCTTATAAAGTAAATGTCTTAGGTCAGGTAGATATATTATTTATATTATAAGTAATATGATGAATAAACCATGACAGGGACAGCAATGTCAATCATATATAGATGATTATTTACCCTAATAATTGTACAAATTTCTTTATTCATCTTTAGAATCTTTAGATCATAAGGTCTGTCATTGAGTCAAGTGACGTGATTTCGATACCACACTTGTGTACATGTAATTTAGGAGAAGGTTCGCCTGCCTAACCATGTGGGTTTTCTCCAGGTCCCTCCCACTGTTAAAGATCCCTGCGTGCAATCACATTATTGAAATTAAATTATATCGTATGTTATTCCTGAAATTACATAGTTTGCATTGAGTCCTTTTGGGGGACACGATAACTCTCCTCCTAAATGAGCTAGAATGTTCAAACTTAGTGTAGGTGTTTATTAGGTGAATGCCTTGATGGAGTTAAAAGATTAGCATTGTCTGCTTAGGCTAAATAGAGATAAGCAATGTGATTGGTTGTTGCTTTGGGACACGATTACTTTAGTTTTAATTAAGTGAGAGTGTTGAAACTTGGTGTATAGTTTTATTAATATCAAAACCTTGATTAAATTTGATAATGATCATTTTTTGCTTAGGGTAAGCAGAGCTCTGAGCAATTTGATTGATTGAGACTTTGGAGCTCAATAACTTTGATTGTAATTGAGTGAGAGTGGTGAAACTTGGTGTATAGTTTCATTACATCAATACCTTGACAGTGTTCGATGATGAGCATTTTCAGCTTAGGCTAAGTAGAGACTTCAATCTGATTGGTCAAGAATTTGGGACACAATAACTCTTCTTCTAATTGGGGTAGAATGTTCAAACTTGGTGTAGGTGTATTTTAGGTGAATGCCTTGACAGTTTTTAATCTTATGCATTTTACACCAAGGCTAACCAGAGATAAGCAATTTGATTGGTTGAGACTTTGGAACACAATAACATTGGTTCTAATTGGTACATCAATACCTTGACTAAGTTCGATGATGACAATTTTCTGTTTAGGCTAAGTAGCAATAAGCAATTTGATTGGTCGAGACTTTGGAACATAATAACTTTGCTTTTAATTTAGATAGAATGCTTAAACTAGGTGTAGATGTTCATTAGAATGTCTTGACTGAGTTCAAGGATTAACATTTTCTACTAAAGCTAAGCATTGGTCGATGCTTTGGGACAAGATAACTTTGATTCTAACTGATGGAGAGTGATGAAACTTAGTGTATAGTTTCACTACCAGGTACTTAAAAACCTAGACTGAATTTGATCGTGAACATTTTTTGATTAGACGAAATACAGTTAATCAGTTTGATTGCTTGCTAATTTTCAAAAAGATAAATGTGCACTTAATTAATATTTGTCATCTATTTATTTGAGATTGCGGCGAGGGACGTCAGCCTCACTATTGGTTTGTTTTTCTAGTTGTGTATACAATGTGAGGGGAGAATTTTGCTGGGACAGCGGGCCCTCAAGTGCCAACCTTAACAAATAACCACTTTGGCCTACTCTTATTTCAATTTGCAACTTTCAAGGGAACTTGAACAATTTACCAATAGATAACATTGCTCAACCACTGAAAGTGGGAAACGAGGCTGGAAAATCCTGACAAACTTTGTCAAAAACACAGGACCTCGCGGCGAGTGAATCATGGCCATACTCACCGAGCCACTGTGGCTCCACAAAATGGATCTATTGCAGATCTTCTGAAAAGTATCAGCTTAACTTGATTATGTTGTAAAACCTTGACATGGTGAAGATGAAATTTATAAGAAAAGAGGAATTATGCTAGGTTTTGCTTTAAGAAGACAATTTATATTTATCCAATAACTGTGCAAATAAGGCAATTCTGCCTTGCAGTGGGATTTAAATATGCACATGTTTAAATTATTAGTGCCATATATAGTTAAGACAATACTAAAGAAGTGTTCACAAAAATATTGAACATTGAAGCATGATTTTATAAATTGTGATTTTTCGTAAATTTGTGGAGTTGTGTTGACAATCCATTCATAATTAAGACAGTTTAATGTATAAAATCTACACAGTTAACTCTAAGAAACAGGCATATTTTGGTGCACTCACATTTAGACATTTAAATGAAATGAAATGGGTTCCTCAGTTTCCTCTACTACTTTTCTGCACAACTGGACAAATGAAGACGGGTGTACACCATGCAGTGTACTATGAGGAGAATTTGGCCCGGAGAGCGGCACTACAGCCAACTCTTATTTCGAGTTCCAAATGTTAACAACAGGGTTCCCGCGGTCCTTGAAAATCCTTGAATATCCTTAAATTTAAAATTTCATTTTCAAGGTCTTGAATATCCTTGAATTTCGCGGAAATAGGAAAATATCCTTGAATTTCAGTTGAGATCCTTAATTTTGTTTCAAATGTCTTCAATTCCTTTTAAATATGAGATCATAACGATAGTTGGTAATGTTTTGGTTATTTTTAAGATGAAAAATTGTAACTTTAGGCTAAAAAATGTCCTTGAAAATCCTTGAATTTGACGTATATTTATCCTTGAATATCCTTGAAAAAATGTTTGACGAAGCCGCGGGAACCCTGAACAAAGGTTCTTTTGCATGCATGCCAATGTCAAGAGTTTCTATATGTGCACGCCAACATGTTCACAGGATCTCATTTTTTCATCCAGTCCAAACGACAAGATACTGGGATTGCCACTGTCATGACAAAATTTCTCTCGTTGCACACTGCATGGTGTATGCCCTTCTTTCTTAGCCGGGTAATTGCAGAAAAATAGGACGTTTTGCAAGATTTGATGTACATGTTGTATATTGTATTAATGCTATAAGACTTGTATCAGTGATTTACTTGGATAATTACTGTCTGTCGATGTTCCTTCTGTGTGCTATTCACTAATGGACTTACTATTCATTTCCATTGATTTGTCTTTATAGATGGAGCTCATTTGTTTCAAATGATTAAGTTAACAAACGGGTGAAATGATGTAAGCACCAGCACTTGCTTGCTATTGATGATTGTTGGTTATCATGGGGAATGACAATTGACAGACGGCAGTTGGATAGACAGAAGTGATGATTATCATTTAATCAATGATCATTCTTACTCGGTATTGTTAAATATGTACCAGTTAGATGGTTTCTCTTAAAGTCATTCAACTTCCAAATCTTTTATCTTTGGTTGGCATCTCAGAAAATCAGGATTCAATTTAATTAAATGATAAAAATAAGTCTGTAGTATTTTTAAAGAGGAGGTCCCTGAGTTGAATCTTATTAATATCAGTACATGTTGGCATAAATTTAAAAGAAGACATTTCTCCAATTTTAATCGAGCATATAAGATAAGTTTCTGCATATTAATTTTAAGACTCTTCTTTTTTACTGTTTAAATGGCACCGTGTTATTTTACTGAACTTATAGAATTGTATTCATTTAGTAGAAGTCTTAGATCGTCTTTTTATTAAAACTGATAAAAAGCCTGTAATGTAAAACTTGTATCATATGGCAACAGGTCTTTTAGTGCACAAGCTCCAAAACTATAGAATAATCTTTTTCTTAATTTATGTAATAGCCAATATATACATAGCTATTTTTACCCCCCAAAAATTGAAAAGTTATTTACTTTTTAGAGACTTTCAATTGATATTTCTTTATCTGTTTTGTATTCATTATTTCTTTATGCATTTACTTGTATTCAAGCAGTTTGTGAAGACAGCACCATTTAAATGCTTTGTGGGGGTTTGGGTGGCCGAATGGTTAACGTGTGCGCATTGGATCAGATGGTCTGTCATTGAGTCAAGTGCCATGATTTTGATTCCCCGCTTGTACCTGACAAGGAGTAGGGTTGATGTACAACTTCGCAGGTTTTCTCCGGGTCCTACGGTTTCCTTCTGCTGCTAAAGACCCTTACATACAAACGTATTATTGAAAAAAAAAGTTGAACCATAGATGTATGTTAGTTCCGAAATGACCTAATTTGTTTCGCGTGGACTGGGAAGGCAGAAATGCTGCTGTCAAGGCAAACTTCTCCCCCTTCCAATTGTACACATAACCATAGAAATGAAATTATCATATATAATGTTTGACTCAAAAAAACCCGAATGTTGTGTTGAGATTAAATGGATATCCAATTTTCTGCTCTATACAATTTATTGTAAATTTATTCTGGGGTTGGTTTAAAATGAAGCGATTTTATACCCCATTCTTTTTTTATTAAAGAATTATTTATTCAAGGTGCCCTGCA